AAGGACTTGGGGTGAGTGAAATCCTACTTTTGCAGTCCTTCTCCACCCATTGTCATGGGTCATAACAGTCATTAACAGTGGTCTTTCTGGTGGGTGTGGTCTTGATCTTTCTGGGGAAAAGGGGAGCATGATAAATAGGAGATAGACTATATTTAAGGCCTCCACCCAACAGCCACTAAACAGGAGAATGGCCCAGCACAGGAGTGACAATGGTTCAGGACCACAATCAGCCATGTTCCTTCATTTGAAAGACAAAGGACATGCATTTGATAACCAAGGTGGTATTCATTTTGGACTGAGAAGAGGGCTGGTCTCAGAGAGGGGTCAGAGAGGCCATATATATGTGCACATAGAAAATCCCTCACTCAACAGGGGTGGAGGCCGTAGATACAATCTGTCTCCTATTTATCATGCTGCGTTTTCATCCACCCCCAGAAATATCAACACCACACCCACCAGAAAGACCACTGTTAACGACTGTTAACGACCCATGACAATGGGTGGAGAAGGACTGCAGAAATGGGATTTTCACTCACCTCCAGTCCTTTGTCCATCTAAGGAGCCCATTCAGCCGAGGGGGAAGTGAAACCAATTTGGAGATTATATCAGGGGCCTCCTACTAACTCTCCTCAAACTGAAGAAACTACAGTACTTGGATGAGTAGTGAAACATTTCTCCTCAATCTGAATAAACTACTTGGATGAGTAGTGAAACATTTCAACCTAATAAGAAAGAAGACCAGTTGCTATGACTCAATTTCCAGACATGGCTACTGTGCTTGTACCTTTACAAATATTTTAAAGGGATACTGATAGCAACTGCCACAGCTGCAGCAAAAACAACATGAATACATTGCTCAGAAGACAGCCTTCCTCCCTCCCTTCTGAATAAACTACTTGGATGAGTAGTGAAACATTTCAACCTAATAAGAAAGAAGACCAGTTGCTATGACTCAATTTCCAGACATGGCTACTGTGCTTGTACCTTTACAAATATTTTAAAGGGATACTGATAGCAACTGCCACAGCTGCAGCAAAAACAACATGAATACATTGCTCAGAAGACAGCCTTCCTCCCTCCCTTTCAGGTATAAAGAATTTAAGTGGAAAGAGGGCTTGAGCAGAGAAAGGGGCATTTCCTGCTTTGAACAGTAAAGAAAGGAGAATTGCTTTCACATCTCATCTCTTTTTAAAAACCCTGCTCTTCAGAATACTTTGCAAGTGTTTTAAAACCTGATTCCTTCTCCTCTCAATGTTGTTCAAAAGGAGAAACAAAAATGAAAACGGAGAGCTGAGAAGGAGAGATACACAGGGAAATAAGGAAAGGGGAATGAGTGAGTAAAGGAGTGAACTGAAAGGGGGAGGAGGAGAGAAGGAAAAAAGGGGGAATTAAAGCAAAGTGGGAATGAAGGCGGGAAGTGAAAATTAAAAAGGGAAGGGCTGCAGGTAACATATATCACCAGGATGCACGTTGACTAACAGTTGGAAGGGACAGGAAAAGAGCAATATATTACTTATGAATTATTTTTTAAAAAATAAAATAAAAATTGGGGCAACAAAGAACCCCAGAAACAGGATGGCAAACAAATCAATTCAAACTGATTGAGCTGACAGCCATGTGAATGGGCCCAGCCATGTATATATACCATGTGACCACATGTAGATTCAATAAAAGGATAAAAATAATGAGTATAACTAGGGTTCTTTTGGCACCTGTGATTGAGCCGTAAGTTAGAACCTATAGGGAGCAATGTAAGATAGTAGCAACCACTTTTTCAAGGGTCGGCGGGCGTGGGCAGTGTTACATACTGAGTGGCACAATCCCTGCTTCAACTAACAATGTTATCACCTTGATAAAACAAGCTACTCTTAGAACAAAAGTTTGCCACATTCCAGATACAAAGTCTGGTTTCTTTCTGTGTTCAGCGGGTTTGCCACATATAGCCTTGCTGAGGAATTTATGGGATTATGGTTTGAAAAACTAACTTTTTAAAGCTCCGATTCCAGCATTTTATTAGTCCTGCTGCTGCTGACTTGTTTTTACACTAACCAAGAAGCTGGATACAGTTCTTGCTTTTCCCCGCTGGCCCAGGTGTGAGCCAGTGCATTGCTTCAAACACTGGTGGACAGCCACTGGCCCTTCATTTTCAGAACCTGAATACACAGGGCAAGGGGTCTTATTCACCTTGGGTTTATTCCATTTTAAGTAACAGCTTCTGCCCAGAAAGAATCTTGGGAACTGTAATGGCTGGGTTGCAGTACTAGGAATTTCATTGAAGACTAGTAGCCTCCTTCAGAAAAATAAAAAAAGGAGTTTCAAATTTCTCTGGGGTGGAGGAATGACTATTAAATTTGTTGAAGTACTTTATGTGTAGATATACATGCAGAGTGGCTCCGATTGGTGAAAGCCTGGGGTTCGGTGGGGAGACTTTAACGTTTTTTTAAATAAAATATCTCATCCCTGATGACTTCCTTACCTGGTGCTTCATATTTAGGTAATGTTAGCTTTTTGTCCTGAAAGGGCTCCTGATAGCCAAGAAATGTTAATCCAAAAAAAGCCATGATCCAGCTCTTATTTTCCCTTTAGGTCCCAGTAGCTCTGTAGGCTTCCAGCTTCACCTTTCTTCTTCCTGGCTTCCAAAGCATCTGTTTGCTGTGTTACCACGGAGATCTCAGCTTTGTTCCTACTACTTTGACCAATCAAAAAATGAGTGTGTGAGATGACAAACATGATGCATTAAGAGAGAAATACTTTGATGCAACTGAAAACCAATTTGAAGAAGAATACAGAAAAAAAGTTCTTCCCAATCTAGGATGCCAGTTCTTTTTCAATGCCACAATTTAATTAATAGATGGCTGCAGCACTTACTGGCCAACACTGAAGCATATCTGCATCTGACAGGTGCATTAGGCACTGTGGATAATGTACTGCAAATACATGCTTCTATTCCAGGAAGGTACAACATTTTGAATAGTTTTTAGAACCCAAACCCTACTGTAGATTTAATTTGCTCAATGCCAACCACACAGAGTAGATTTCCACCCTATATGCTTTGTAGAGTTTACTGCTGAATAAATACACCCAAAATACAAGGCTTCGCTCCTCTTCCTAAGGCACTAAGAACCCTTACAAGAGAATCCAGACTGCATTTGTGAGTTTCCTAGGGCTGCAATGTTCAGCTGACAGACCAAGAAGTTAAGTCCTATTAGACACTGTAGGGCTTATGCATGAGCAAACATGCATAGGCTGGGCTGTAAATGGGGCTGTACTGATGCATTCAAAATGTTAAATTTTCATAATTGTTTATTTCATTAGACTGTATGTGTACAAAATATTACTTCTTTTGGTTTGATAGGGTGGATTGGTTTGATTTCTAATGGGTAGCAGTTACAAATAGGTACTATCTTTTATCTCAAAATCTACCCACTACTTCTCATGGTTATCCTGTGTTGGGAAAACAAGAAAGTGCCTTGTGCAGGACACTGATATGTAGAAATTGTTGAAAAAGAGCCTCTACTGAATTTACTTTCAGCACGGTAGATATCTGTTTACCCATTTCCCAGACAAGGCATTGAAGCACAGAGCCAAGGTAACTGCAGGATGTGGCAAATATACATAACCTTTCAGGGAACTGTCTCTTTTTGATGCAGCTTCCATTCTTGACCATGACCCACTCACCCACCTTATGTTATGTGAACACCCCCAATGGGTCCCTTCTTCCTCAAATTTCACAGCAATGCAATGTCAGCTTAGACAGTTGAAACCAATATTATGAAAAAATAAGGCCAGCATAAAGCTGTGATTGCAGCAATGTGTTAACTAACACCCCATCACTGGGATCACAAATTAAATGTTAGTTTATTTATACCATGCAGATTCAACTTAGTAGAAGTTACGCCGGCCATCATCTATGCATCTTGTTTTTGCTTTTTGAATGCTGACTCATGTTTTCATAGAACTATTATTTCAAATGATAGTTTAGCATCTAAACATAACAGACAGTCGTGTGGTAACTTAAAGACTCATAACTTTTACAGTATGACCTAATTAATCAGATGGTTTCCACTCCAGTACTAAACAGTTCACATGCAATCACAATGCAAATAGTGAAAGAAGAAAGTGCTGGGAACACATAATACAAGATGTTCTGATAAAGTCATACAGCCAATTATTTCTGGCTTCTAAATTAGTTAAGTATAATGTGGTTTTGAAGACAGATAGTGCAACCAGAAAGCCTTCACTTAAACACACCTCAAATTATTATATATGAACAAAATTTAGTTAAACTGCCATTTCCGTAACAAACCCTGCTGCAAACCAATGCTCATCTGTGCAAAGTTACCTTTGGACTTCATATAAAAGCAAGAATACCTTTATAGGAGACAATATACAGCCTTGTCCTACTCCTTTCCCAATTTTGAACCAATCAGTTGTTCCATATCCAGTTCTAACTGTTGCTTCCTGTCCCACATATAGATTTCTCAGGAGAGAGATAAGGTGGTCAGGCACTCCCATTTCTTAGTAAACTCACTAGGCTTAACCAATTGGGGTCAGATGAAAGCCAAGGGAATATTGCCTAGTGGTTGCAAACCAGCTCCGCTGATGTTGAGAGTCGTAATTTCTACAACCCGGGGGCAGTCATGTTTCGTGTTGTGTTTTTATCTAACCCAAAACCAAATCAAGGAGATCAGTCTAAACCCCATAAAATATAAGTATTCTCTCGCGTTCTCCATAAACAGGGACTAGAGAAAAAAGGGCGAGGGGACACTCTGGCATGACGCTTCCAGAGCGTGCGCATTTATTCCTCTTACCGCTCCGCCTACCCAATGCACTCTTGCACCTCTATGGTTACTGCCATAGAGACGCGAAGGACAAGGTAGCGGAACAGGCACCTTCCTTTATTGGCTTCTGGCCAGAAAGGAAGAGGAAGTACGCAGGCCCAGACGCCGGGCGAAGCCTGAACGAACTTTCGCGAGAGTCCCCCGGCGCGTGCTGCGTGCGTGCAGACACGCATGCGTGGTTGTCGACGGTGACGGCGGCCATCATGGCGGTGTGTGGCGCGGCGGCCGGAGCGGGAGGAGGAAAGCGCTGGTACTTCACCCGGGACCAGCTGGCGCGGAGCCCTTCCCGGCGGGCGGGGGTCGACCCAGACAAGGAGTTGTCGTACCGGCAGCAGGCGGCTAACCTCCTTCAGGACATGGGCCAGCGCCTCAATGTGTATCCCTTCGAGAACTAGGCCGTGGTTCAAGCTAGGGCTGGGGCCGGGCGAACTGAGTGCGCGTTTGGGGGTGGGGGGGAAATCAGGCTTGGTTGGCGAGCTAGGCCTGGCCGAGGGTTTGAGGGAAACAATTCCGCCGGCTTTTAGACTTAAGGGTTACATGTTCTGCTTAAGGCTGAGCGGATACGCGTGTGGACAAAAGCGCGGGGCGGGGAGAGAACGCCTTGGTAGGCCGCGGTTTGCGAAGTCTGTGGTTCGGCTCCGGAAGGGTGTTGGAGAGCGAATGTGAGCGTACGCGGTAACGGATGGTTAAACTTTTACTGTGGAGATGTTTTGAGGTGAAGCTGCGATGTGAGTGAGAAAGAGCAGAGGTCCCAAAGCTTCGGAAGCTTGAGCCAAGTCTATAAGAGCCGCTGGGTCAACATCTTAAGAGTGGCGCAAGAGGCTATTCATTGAGTAACTCAAGGCCGGTTCATGTCTTGATAGGCCTACTCAGTTCTTAGTGAAACTCTTGGTCATTTGGGATGTTTTAGTTCTAGTGTTAATTCATTTCATACTTTTTTAAAACCTCAACTATATCAGAAATCAGTAGGGGAACTGCTATTTGTAATTATGTTTGTGTAATTGTAAGTGAGCTGCAGTAATATTGAAGGTTGGTCCTAAATGCGAGTTGAAATAGCTTACATACTTTAGTATATTCAATTTCTTATTAGTATATTTAGTATATTCAAATTCTTATTAAATAGAGGAGGGTTGTCCTCTGTATTTTCACATGGCTGTGTGTCTTAACATAATTGGACACATTTCCTCTAAAGTATACCTCGCTAAATTCAACATTGTTTCCTTGTAATTAGGGGTGCATAGGATTGCAGCTTACGGCTGAGGTATATCATGAGTTTTATGGAAACTCATGATTCCTATTGTGTGTGGGAAGAACATGTACAGCAACCTTATATTATTTGCAACTCAATTGAATATTTTTATACAAAATTAGCCTGCTTTTTCCTTTACTGTAAGCAATTAGATCTCAACTGACTATCAACACTGCTATTGTCTATATGCATCGGTTTTACATGGTTCAGTCCTTTACCCAGTTTCATCGGAATGTAAGTATCACTTAAACTGTTTCAGTTTTGCTGAATATTATTCTGCATTTATTATAATCTTATCAGGAGTCTAAGTAAATGAAAGCACTATAAAGTACTGTTGTGAGAGACCATTGAAAAACGTAGGATAGAATAAAATCCTTATAGACATTGTTTTAACTTGTAAAGCAGCTACGGGTAGGGATAATGTACTCTATTAAAATGCTTCTTCTGACTTAAAGGAATTCATAAGGCATCCAAAAAGCATGGATACATCTAATAAAACAAGTAGATGGATGTCTCACTAGGCCCATGTTGGTAATAAATTAGAATCGGCAAGGCAGCAGTAATTGGTGAAAATCTGTGGACAAACTTCAAAGCATTACCTACAATCATGGCCAAAAATATCAATACCCTTGCAATTCTGTCACAAAATGCAACCCTTCTCTCAGAAAATTCTTGCAGTTGCAAATGTTGTGGTACTCACGTGTTCATTTCTGTGGTCTGCATTGGAACAACACAAAAACAAGAAAAGTCAAATCTGATATAATCCCACACAGAAACCCCAAAATGCACTGGCCAAAATTATTGGCTCCCTGTCTAAATTGTAAGAAATAATTGCTTTCCAGGCATGTGATGCTCCTTTAATTTGTATTTAGACTCACCTGTTGCAAGTAAGAGGTGTGGACAATATAGTAATCACACTTACAGCCAGTTAAGATGGAGAAAAGTTGACTCAATCTTTGTGTTGTATGTGACACTGAGCATGGAGAAAAGAATGAAGTGTAAAGAGTTATCTGTGGATTTGAGAGAAAAAAATGTGGAAAAACATCAACAATCTCAAGGTTACATCTCCAGAGATCTTAGTGTTCCTGTGTCCACTGTGTGCAGTATCTTCAGAGGTTTACAGCCCATAGCTAACCTCTCTGGATGTGGACGGAAGAGCAAAATTACTGAAAAATTACAACGAAGTTTTGTTCAAATAGTGGCTAGAGAACCCAGATTAACTTCCCAACAAATTCAAGCTGATGTGCAGACAGGGTACAACAGGGTATTATCACAACAATACACCCACAACAAAAACATCCTGATCACCATAATTACCCATCTCCTGAAAAGGACAAAAGCTGATCCCACAACTATAAATATTCAACTCCCAAACAGACTGCACCAGAGCACAGAGTGCTACTCCTGTCCTCTGAAAATGCTGGCCACAGAGACTGGCGAAACGTTAGGAAGAACAACCTTCAGAAAATGGCAAAAGAGACCAAAAAACCCACAACAGCCATTAGATCCTGGCCGTGAAAGCCTTCACGAATACACAGTCCCTACAGTCAAACATGGTGGAGGTTCAAAGATGTTTTGGGGTTGCTTTGCTGCTTCTGGCATTGAATGTCTTGACTGTGTGAATGGTATCATGAAATCTGATGATTACCAAAGAATGTTGGGGCACAACATAGTGGCCAGTGTCAGAAAGCTGCGTCTCCACCAGAGGTCATGGTTCTTCCAGCAGGACAATGACTCAAAACACACTTCAAAAAGCACTCAGAAATGGTTATAAACAAAGCGCTGGAGAGTTCTGAAATGGCCAGCAATGAGTCCATATCTGAATCCCATTGAACACCTGTGGAGAGATCTCAGAACAGCAGTTGGGAGAAGGCATCCTTCAAATCTGAAGGCCCTGGAGCAGTTTGCAAAAGAAGAGTGGTCCAAAATTCCAGTAGAGAGGTGTAAGGAACTCCTTCATGGTTACAGGAAGTGATTGATTTCAATTATTTTTTCCAAAGGGGGTGCTACCAAATATTACATTAAAGGTGCCAATAATTTTGGCCAGTGCATTTTTGGGTTTCTGTGTGGGATTGTATCAGATTTGACTTTTCTTCCCTGTTTCTTTGTGTTGTTCCAATGCAAACCAAAGAAATGAGCATGTGAATAACACAATATTTGCAACTGCAACAATTTTCTGAGAAAAGGGTTGCATTTTCTGACAGAATTACAAGGGTGCCAATATTTTTGACCATGACTGTAGATCAGATGCTTGCAGAAAAAAATGCCAAATAGGTTTGAGGTCCTGAGACTGATTAAAAAGGACCAGGAAGGATTTCTAAAGAAAGAGATTTTGAAGCCAGAGCAGCATGGTTGAGAAGATCTTCCCAAATAAACTGTTTACTTAATGTGGGTGATCTAGAAAGGTTTGATCTGGTTTCTACTTCTATAAAACAGAGGATGGGCAACCTTGGGGGTGGGTTGGGGAAAACTTTTTACCTTCCCCAACTCCAGCTACACGATGGCCCCAGAAGTGGTTGCTTTCAGCCATTTCTTTAAAAAAGATAAACACAAACAGCCTGGATGGGCACTTGTGGATTGATGTGTTATTCTGGGGGAGTGGAGTTTGGGGCTTAGGGGACCATCCCAGGTTCCTTATGCAAAAATCCCCCTCCCAAAAGCCTCATATATTGGAAAACATGTTGTGGCTTTTGCAGAAAAATGTCCTGGGAGGGCTGTATGTTGCCCATTCATGATGTAGACCTGTACTAAGTGGAGGTCAGAATAGCTCCTGAATTGACCATAAACCCAGCCCCGTGGTCTTCACCTGAAAATTAGTAGTACAGTGCCTCAGAAAAACTCCAAAATGTGTTCTTTGAGTTCTTGATAGAACTTGTGCATCTGATTAAACTATTGCCCTTTTTCTCACACATAATCTTGTAAATTACAAAGAGATGATGATATATTTCCAGATGCTTTTTTGTTTTGTTAGATGTGCTTTATAAGTACATTTATTTGGCACAACAGGTATTGAAATATGGATTGATTCTTTGTCTTCATTGTATTGGTAATATGTTTTGCGAACATTTGGACAATAAGTATGTTTGCTAGTTCTAAGGTGGTACAATTATGATAACCTCTCTGGGCATTTGAGGCCAATGAGATTTGCTGTCATTTGGAAGAGTGTATATTTATATATGTCTTTTTTGTGAAGTCTGTAGCACCAGCTGCCCTTTTCCTGGCTGCCAAGGTGGAGGAACAACCTCGAAAGTTGGAGCATGTCATCAAGGTTGCCCATGCCTGTCTACATCCTCAAGAGCCCCTTCCCGATACACGGAGTGATGTAAGTAGCTAAACATTTACGGAACATGCATAGTGCTCATCAAGTTAGGGAGAAAGAGAAAAAGAATACATCCTGGCAGTGCAACTCCCTTGTGCTTCATTGGATTTAGAGCGATTCAGCTTTTCAGAAAGTTAGTAACTAATACAGTACTTAAATTTTACTGGTGCATAGTGCAGAAAGCACATGGTTTTTGTAATCAAAATGGCTTCTCAGTCCTGTATGTTCCTGCTAGAGAATTGTGATTAAAAGCTAGAAATGTATTGTTTGCATTAAGGAGTGAGCGTTGCCTGCCAGGATCATCCTCTTATTTTTGACAGACACAGAAAAAATATTTTTGAAATACCATCCATTCCCTGCCCTAAAAAAAGGACGATTGTTAAGCACATTTTTTAAAAAATTGCCTTACAGCCCTTTCCGACAGGACCAGCACATCTAACCTTACCAACAAGGGGGAAACTTTATTCTGAAACTGCATTGGAGGAAAGGGCTGATTTTTAGCATGCAGTGGTAACTTCATGAGAATGAAGCAGTTTTGGATTTTCTTGCAAGAAATGTCTCATAGTTCACTTTTTTCCCCTGGGAATGGGATGCTAATCCCAATACCTTTCACCATTTAATATGATAAAGGTTCCCCCTTGCTTTTTCCCCCTGCCTCCTCAAGAGAGTGTTAAAAATATGCAGGCTTGATACAGAGTGCCTCATCACAAGTAACCTGCCTGTCCTCTCAACCTCAGGCTTACCTGCAACAAGCCCAAGACCTGGTCATTCTAGAGAGCATAATACTGCAGACCCTGGGTAAGTTTTTCCAAGCGGACGGGCTGCTTCATGAATCTCAGACCCAGGAACGTTCCACCGAGTGGACAGTTTAACCCCAGTCTTCTTCACAGCTGCAGAGTTAAGGCACAGCTGGCCATTGTGGGAGAGCAACAGTCCAGGCAGCAAACCATGTCACAACTAATGATATGTTTGATATGTTTTGTTAAAGATGAATATATCAATATGTGCGTTTCTGTGCAAATATGAATATGCAAAAATTGGCATGGATTTTTTTCTCAACAGGATTCGTATTGATCAGGTTCCAGGCATTGATTTCTGAACTGAAGTCTTAGCAATTGTAGCATCAGCTTGGCAACCCAGGCTGGGAAATGGGTACTCAGGCAAACTAAAGATGAATGGTCGATGATGATGGATCTTGGTTGTAATTTTAAATTTAGAGGGTTTTAGCAGCTTAAACAGTATTGTTTTTTCAACTTTGGTATACATTGAGCACTAAATAAGTGAACTGTTCTATGTTCCTGATTTTTCTTGGTTATATGTATGAAATATCAACAACATTTTAATCAACAGCGTGCAAGGAAGTTAATCCTAACTGGTAATGCTTTTTTCAAATAACAAAGTAGTTTGTCAGACTGACTTGTTTCTTAACAGCAGGTATACTTACAACAGATACTGTTTTGCTCCGGGACATGGCCTAATTCAGTGGTTCTTAACCTTTGTTACTCGGATGTTTTTGAACTGCAACTCCCAGAAACCCCAGCCAGCACAGTTGGTGGTGAAGGCTTCTGGGAGTTGCGTCCAAAACTCCTGAGTAACCCAAGGTTAAGAATCAGTGGCCTAATCCAGTATTTTTTCTCTTCTGAGCCATTACCCCTTATGGTTATTCATACCGTACACACAAAAGTTAAGTTGATTTGCAGAAGTACAAAATTACTCCCCTTAAAGTTTACAGAAATAAAAGGCATATAAGAAGTAAGTTCAGGCTTAGGTTATCTTTTCCCTTCAGAGAAATATGTTTGCTTGTATTATTTCTGATAATAAACTTTAAATAAATGTTGGGGTGTTACATGTACATTAGATACTATTCAGGTTCTCTACTTTTGGGGTGGGTTTCAGCATATTTTTGGTTGGGAATATGGTTGCTTTAAACGTTAGTGCCTTGTAATTGTTTTTGTAATAGATAAACCCATTTGAGCCTAGGAAGAAGTCCGGGTTCCTTTCTGATTGCATCTGAGTGCAGATTGTGATTTTCAATGGGAAACAGAAAAATGAACCATCTCATTTGCCTCTCAGGAACCAGAGGCATGTCTGGTATGTAGAACTGGAAGCATGTCCCATTCACAATCTAACCATTCTCTGTTTTTCTTTTAAACAGGGTTTGAGATCACAATAGATCATCCTCACACACACGTGGTGAAGTGCACACAACTAGTTAGAGGTAAGCAGCAATCCAACTACTGTAGTGATTCCACTATAGTTGTTGTTCAGTTGTGTCCGACTCTTCGTGACCCCATGGACCAGAGCACGCCAGGCTCTCCTGTCTTCCACTGCCTCCCGGAGTTGGGTCAAATTCATGTTGGTAGCTTCAATGACACTATAGTAGTTGTTTACAAAGATGGCTAGGATTCCTAAATGATAAGTTATTCCTAGGAAAAAGTTGATTTAATGAAGTAGTGCAGCAGGCAGGAAATAACATTCTTTACTAACAAAGTTCCATCTTCTCTGCTGCCTAGCCTAATATGGTGGCAAATTAAAAAAATTCAAAATGAAAAAAGCTAGTTATTTATGACAAATATGTACAGTGGTACCTCGCTTGACGACGTTAATTCATTCCAGCGAAATCGCTGTAGAGCGAAAACGTCAAGCAAAATAAAAAAGCCCATTGAAATGCATTGAAAACCGTTCAATGCATTCCAATGGGCTGAATACCTGCTCCTCCAGTGGAGATCCTCCATACGGCCGCCATTTTCGGGTGCCTGTTATGCGAAAAATGCCTCCTAAAAATAGCAGGGAGCCATTTTGAGCAGCCGGTGGCCATTTTGAAAACCTGACGATCAGCTGTTTTGATCGTAGTAATGCGAAGAATCGGTTCCTGAAGCAGGGAACCAATTGTTGCAAAGCAAAAAAACCCTATTAAAACATCGTTTTGGGATCGCGAAAACATTGTCGTGAAGTGGATTTGTCATTATACGGGGTAAATGTTAACCGGGGCATGACTGTATATGAAATTGAAGGGCATCCATAATCAGTACACTGCTAATTGATTCAGTTGTTCCAGCAAAAATGTACTGCATGTGCTAATGTGAATTTCCTTTTGTTTTTCAGCCAGTAAGGATTTGGCACAGACCTCTTACTTCATGGCTACCAACAGGTAAATTTTAAACTTGTTTCTTGTATTTTATATGGGAATGGAATTTGTAACCATTGCAAAAACTCTTTTTCAACTCTTTATAGAAGAGAAAAACAAATTCAGATGCATTTGGAAATTGGGCTAACATATCACTTTGGATTTGATTGATGGTTTTTTTATAATAGTGGCTGAAATTTTGGTGCTTAGTATAGTAAGTTGCTCTAGAGTAGGCACATTAAATCAGTAGGGATCAGGTTAGTCAACTCCTAATTTTCATTGATTCAACAGGCCCTACTCTAGTTGTGATTCACTTTAGCTTATATAATAATCTTAGAACTGTAGAGCTGGATGGCACCCCCTTGACCAAGATTTTCTCTAAGGTGCATGTGACTCTGCCTCCTTCTGGGTAGCTTTCCTCTGCTTTCTCCACCCAACAATCGTTTTCAGCCCCTTTGGTGCATGAGAGAAGCAGAGCTCCACCCAGTGGGGATGAGAGTTATGCCCTGGATCATCAAGTCCAGCCCCTTTCAATGAGACACAGTGGGGAATCAGACCCCCAGCCTCCCAGATGCCTAAACCACTAAGCTATCCAGCTTAGTAGGTCAACACAAAGTAGGCCTGTTTGAATCAGTGGAACTTGTGGAGGAATCGGCTCAGTAAATTCTCTTTGATTGCAGTGGACCTGGTCTAGGGCAACCTGCTGTAACAGGATTTTATTTAGCATGTTCAAAATGCTACTTATTCAGCCATATTTATTTGTTTTTGTGAACAGATTGGAGGGCACGGGGAGAAAGAGCTTTTGTAAATATTTTCCTGCCCTGTCATTTAAGAGCAGTTGTTTCTTGTAACAGGTGATTGCTTTTTATAAGTTTGAGCTAAAATTACTTTGCTACTAAAGAAGATTGCATATTTTAGCTTAGACACCACCTTTAATGCTTAATTTGAAAAAAAGAATATGTGGTTGCTCTTAAAACATGCCAGAATCTTAAACCAGGAATTGCTTTGGCTTGAGTGGTCTTTTTCTGATCATATATTCTCCACAAGTGAAAAGCCTTGTGTACTTCAATTTAGTATTATTGCAGAGTTCATATTTTTTGTTTTCCTATGTTACAGATGTGATAATTCACATCTAGGCTTTCTTCTCATTGATAAGATACATATTCTTTTCAGTTGTATTCCAGAAACAATACTACAACCTAGCTTTGATTTGAAGGTGGCTTTGTTCAGTGTATTCAGTTCTTTTACTAATTTTTGCTGCATTTTGAGTAGGTCTCAAAAGAATGTTGTGATTGGTGCAACATTCAGCATCCAGAGGATTTTACTATTTATTAAAATAGTATGGAGAGGTTTGCTAAGATGGGTAATGTCTGCTAAAATTTTAGAAGCCAAAGAGGAGATGTGTAGGCTTCTTAACTGAAGTGTAAAACAGAATTTAAAATGCAGAATGTAATACATGTAACCTTGGTTATTTAAGTCAACTTGTAACTATGGATCTAATTAATGTGTGGGAGACAAAGTATGCATTTGTTCACCAAGATAATTTTGGAAAAGGATGTGATGAGACAGAAGAAAATAACCGAGGCTTTGTCCTCTGAAACAAGTCGCCTGCAAATCCCATTACCATACCAGTTGCTTGTCTGGCTGAACCTCTTTTTCACCTCTGGCAACTAGACTGAGGAAAGGGTAGAACAGCTACTGTGTATTATTTTCTGTCCATCTAGCACCATTTGCAAATCTGTACCATTCACTATAACTGTCGTACATCTTCAGACAAGAATTTATTGGAATATAAATGCAATTTAAGTGAGACCATATCTTCTCCTTGCCAGAATCTCATGTCATGTTAGGTTTCTGCACACATTTCTTTTGGCTGTTGTAGAGCTGATAATAAGTTCTGCAACTAGTTAGTTCTGAAGATGTATAATTGTCTCCATCTTGTTAATCTTAACATAATTGCTGGATGGTTGGCTGTGATGCAAAGTTTATGGCAGTTGATTAGCTGTAACATAACAGGAGATTCTTGGCACCTTTCAGACGGGTGGAACAAAGTCTTTTGAAGGACCAAGATTACCAAATCTTTTATTGAAATTACATCCATATCTTGATACTCTATGTGGAATTAATTTGAAACATAGCATTTTATCCTTCCCTTTCTGTAGGCCATATGGGGGTCCTGGAGCTCCAGGCTGACAGGAGCTCCTGGAAAACCTCACAGGAAAAATCCGATCTGGAATTGAAGTTGGTCAGGAATTGTTTGAGTCAGGCAGGCTCAAACATGCAGGATAACAAACGTTTTTCAAGCTGAGGGATGCCCACTTTCTGCAGTGTGTCCAGCGGGCGGTTGTGTGTGCTGCTGCCGTTCAGGCTTGGGAGCTTACAGCTTTCTGTTTCTCTCTCCCTGCTGGTGATGTCAGCCTTCACCTAACCACCTTCAGCCTGCAGTACACCCCTCCCGTTGTGGCCTGCGTCTGCATCCACTTGGCCTGTAAGTGGTCCAACTGGGAGATCCCAGTATCCACGGACGGGAAGCACTGGTGGGAGTACGTTGATGGCACTGTAACTCTGGAACTCTTGGATGGTAAGTTTGGAGCAAGGCCAAATATGTTCTCCTGCACAGTAAGAGGTATTCCATTAACTTGATATCTTATCTCTAAGGGATGTTCTCGCCAAGGTTTATAGTGTCACAGTAGAAAGTAAAAAAGCTTTAAGTGGGATGAATTGTTTAACTTAAGCCAGTGCTGTCAGTCATGGGACAGTTCCATTGTTTGCAAGCAAGGGCAGAAGTTAAAACCATCTCAGACGCTACCTTGAAATATTCTGTTTCTCACTTCCTGGTGTTTTTGTGTTTCTTTTACAGAGTTAACACATGAATTCCTGCAGATCCTTGAGAAGACACCTAACCGATTGAAACGAATAAGGAACTGGCGGGTAAGGTCCTCTGTGCATTCTGAGCATGAATTGGTACAGCTAGGTAAGGCCTGTAGTGCATTAGGATTATGCATGAAAAAGGACACTGCTTAATCGGTAAGGCCCCCTTAATAAAGATCCAAATCTAGTATAAAAGAATGAAACAGATCCTAGTTCAGTAAAAATCGGTTGCATAAATGGACTAGCACATACTAAAGAATCCACTAGCTATCTATACTGAAATAATGATGTTTGAAAGACCAGGAAGAATAAAAGTGTTTTAGTTTGGTACCAAAAAGATAAGTGGCAAAAAACCTGCTATTTCAGTAGTGCAGATGTTTATAGAAACAGTGGGGCTTCAGTTAAAGGCTGAAAAACATGTCTAGGGGCTCATTGCTGCTTCAGGTAATACAGTCTGAAGCCTTTTAATATTCATTTGTCAAAAGCCAATATTTTGAAATGGTCCCAGAAATGGTCCCAGAAATAAATTGGGAGTTATTGCAGGCAAGAGAGAATGCTTTCTGCTTGGGACTTTCTTGGGGAGAACATTGGCTGTTGCATGCCTTTGAAATTAATTGAATCCTCTTTGCTGTGAGCCAGAATTTGTGAATGAAATGTATTTGGGATGTAAATAGCTCTTCAGCAGAACAGATAAGCTGCAGGCTTACGTTATCCGATCTGGAACTGAAATTGATCAGCAGTTATTTTAATCGGTTAAGCTCAAACATGCGGGATAACAGCGGTTTTTCAAGCTGAGGGATTCCCTCTTTCTACAGTATGTTCAGCGTGTGATTGTGTGTGTTGTTGTGGAGTAGCACAGTTTGGGATCTGTCATGCCACAAGTTTTGTGTGTATTTATTTAGGCCTGCCAAGCAGCCAAGAAATCGAAGACGGATGACCAAGGTGATGATGACTGCCTCTCTGAACAGACCATCCTCAGCATGATCTCCAGAAGTGCATCTGACACAACCATTGCAGGCCTGATGAGCATGTCGACTTCCTCCACTGCAGGAGCCATGGCATCTCTTCCAGCGACAGCAGGGGATTCTCCAGGGGATTTCGGCAGCACAGATATGATGTCAGCAGACAACTGGATGGCTCAGCATCCTCCACATAAACTGGATGTCAGCCACCGAGCAAGTGAAATATCTGCCAGCTCTGAACTCTCACACCATGAAAGCAGCAGTGGCTCCTTCTCTAAGCAGAGCATTAAGAGTGCACCAATAGCAAAAGTGTCATTGAAGGAGTACCGCGCCAAACATGCTGAGGAGCTGGCTGCACAGAAACGCCAGCTGGAGAACATGGAGGCAAATGTGCGTTCTCAGTATGCCTACGCTGCCCAAAACCTACTGGTGCAGCAGCAGCGGGAACGAGATGTTCAGCAAGAGAATAACCCATCTCCCATCATCTTAAAAATCCCTTTGGGCAGCAGTTCTGATGGGTCTGAGCGCCCCCCTGCTGAAAAGGCTGACAAACCTTCTTCTGCTCTGAAAATGCGGCTGCCAGCACCAGGGGATAAACCTGCACTTTCTTCCTCCAAGCCAGAGGAAATAAAAATGCGCATCAAGGTCCCCACGACTCCCTTGGATCGGCACGGTGCATCTGAGGAAAGTAGTAACAAGGGCCGGGGAGACCATAAAGACAAACATAAGGTCCACTCTTCTAACCATCACCATCACCATAACCACCATTCCCATAAACATTCACATGCCCAGCCTGTCACCAGCGCCAAGCGTCCAGGGGACTCCAAGCATACTAGTCAGAGTGGTATTGCCTCCCACAAAGTTGGCTGTGTCCCAACCACTTCCTCCCGTAAGAGACCACTTTCTGAGGAGGCCTCAACTGTGGCCCATGAACATCAGCCCAAAGTCAGTAAGAGTTCAAAAGGGCCAGCAATGCCATTTCCCTTCCCGCAGCATCCTGGACACAGCTTGGATGCAGCTGGGCTGCCTTTTGCACAAGGCAACAAAGGCAGAGGGGCTCATGGAAAACTGGACAAGAGCACTTCTGGGGCCAATGGGCATAACATGAACCAAACCATTGATTACCAGGATACAGTGAACATGCTGCACTCCCTGCTCAGTGCACAGGGTATGCAGCCCACTCAGCCACCCACCTTTGACTTTGTACACTCATATGGGGAATACTTGAATCCCAGGGCTGCTGCGAGTGTGGATAAGCCACGACCTCCTCCTTTGCCCTCAGAACCTCCCCCTCCCCTGCCGCCTCTTCCCAAGTGATTGCCCCTTTTAACTACTGAGGTTAGGCTGTCGTCTCCTGAAGGCAGGTTGCTCATAGTGATATCCACTGCCTTGTGTGAATGCCCTCCCTTTTAAAAAATGTTTTTATTATTGTTACCAGAATGTGGAGCCCTCTGAAGCTGTGAAGAGGCATGCCCATCTTTCTCTGTGTGCTTCCCCCACAACCCCTTCTTGTCCAGCTGGAAAGAGATGAGTATCTTTCCTGTCAAACTGATCTGTAGTTGAGGGGAATATATTTGAAGGTCTTGAACAACTGGAGATGGCACAGGGCTATTTAAATTGCCGCAGTCTTTCTTCTAAAAGACATTTTAAAATAATTTAAAATAAGTTATATGTTCTTAGTATTGATTTTATTTTTCTATGATGGACAAAGGAAAGGGTCACAGCGAAATTGAAATGGAGGCGGGGCTCTGTTCTTACTGTCTTCTTCCGGTGGAATTTGCTTCCTTCTAAATGGAGGCAATGAAGGTATGGAAGGAGGAAAGTGTATGGATACTGACGATAAGCATAAGGTCAGGTGAGTGGTAGTAGTTTCTCCCTGCTTTGGGTTTGGTTGCTCACCACTAGTGCGAGTAGTGACAGATACAGACGTATTTCCAAAAAGAATGTTGGAAACTGTGTGTTAAGTGCTACCCTTGTTCAGTCCTTTTTTATTGAGCAGGGACTACATGGAACAGTGACTCCAAATCTTGGGCAACCCAGGTGTTCTGGGACTGTAATTCCCAGAAGACTACACTACCAGTTGTGCTGGCCAGGATTTCTGGGAGTTGCAGTTCAAGAACACTTGGGTTATCCAAGGCTGGGAACAGCTGGCTTGGAGCATAGCTCTCTTTTTCCTCCTTGAGTACACTGCTTCCATTAGAATTCCCCTTTGTTATGCTTACCATCTCAATGAAGTCATTTGAGTATGACTAGCTTAGGCATTAAAGTTCAGATGGAACTTTGTGATCAATGTGGACAGGACTGTATGCTCCTGCAGAAACTCCTGCAAGTGCCTTCAAAAGAAAAGGCAGCTGCAGCAGCCAGTCAGGAAAAGTGGAATACTGGTTTAGGAGGAAGAGGCATTGAAAGGGAAGCAAAAAGCCTATGTGAATGTTAGAAGAGTAATCGTGACTCTGGGATGCTTTAAATTGTATTTAAACTACATTATGAGATATGAAAATTTCACACTGTGTAAGAATGGGAAACATTTTTCAAAGTTTGTGTCAAGACCACAATAACGAAATCAGGCACATTTGGATTAGAGGAGTGAAAATCTGGATGAATTTATGACAAATTGTTTGTCTTCTCATTTAAACATGTTTACCAACAGTACAAAATGGCCTGCTTTGCATATGATCTGTTTTAGCTTGATTCCTCGACAGGTGGGGAGATTGGTCTGGCAAAAGTCCACTTCAGAAATATATTCTGGTTTTTAAACTTCAGTACAACAGAAGATGTATGACTCAGACCTGTTCTCCATGCAGTTAAAAATGAAATGGGCTAGTCTTTTAAAAGTGGTGACATATTATGTTTTTGAAGATCATATGGGAGCACTTTTCATTCCAGAACATTCAGCCTTGATTTGAATCATAACAATTGAACAGAACACTTGGAGATGGCACTCTTAAATCTGTTTTTTTTTGGGGGGGGGAGTATACATTCCCTGGTTCAGCAAAGTGTTTCAGGATATTCTTGCTGCTCTGAAGGAACTTCCAAATTGACATCTCAGTAAGTGTTGAGTGTAGAATGTGGTTATTTTCTTCTCAGTTGGAATGGAGTAACTTAATACATATCAGTAGAGGTCTGCTCCAGTGTGTTCAATAGCTACTAAAGGTTGTGAACAAACAAGGCTAGTTAAGGTCTGCAGTTTCTTTTCAGAATATTTAATTGCTGCAGGTTTTAGAGGGTGCATCATGTTTAAAACAAAACAAAAACACACTTGTCTGTGGGTATCGGTTTGGTTTCTACTGAAGTGTTTTCTTTGAATTTGGAACAGTGATTATTTCCCACCACATCTGGATTTCAACACAATAGTATTTTGTCTATTGATGGTTGCAAACTTTGGGCCTAGTTTTACATAATCATTCATAAACTTTCTAATTCCCAGCTCATATTATTACTATTCTAAGTTTCAATAAATGTACTGTCTCCATATTTTGTCTTGTCTTCAGTATTTTAGCTGTTAAGTACACACACTTATTTGAATACAGCAGGGAGCTTTTCTCTTTAAAAATTATTAGTGAAAGTCATAGCATCCAGTAATTCTTGATTCAGAGGCTCTTTACTTTCCCCCTTTCCTTGGATAGCTCCTTTGCATATTGGGATTTTATCTTTGTTTACATTGCCTTGTGATGCACCAAATTGTCTCTGCATAGCAGAGCAAGGAGAGAAACAAGTAGCCATGTTGGTCCCCTTGATTTTCTTCTTAATGGTAAAACACAGTAGCCAGTAAGCTGTCAAAGACATATATGGAATAGCACCATTTTGTTCATATTCCCAAGCTACTGAGACAAAACTTTTGACTCTGCAATTTGCAATAGATTTTTTAAGATTTCAATATTTCAGGTAAATGTTGTCGGATTACAGTTTCATTTGTTTACTATTATTGCTACATAATCTGTGTTACATGTCACTGAGGCTTGCTAGAGATTTCTATCAGAGGTCACTAAAATGAAGAACAATTGATAAGACCTGCATTCTATCTGTTATCTTTTTGTCCTACTCAGGATTTACCATTTTCTAGAAAGTTAGGGAAATGAAAATGGATCAGGGAAATTGTGATTAATAGTACATATGGGGTATTCATATTTGTATACAAATATTCCCATGCAGATGGAGTTAAACAAGGGTCCACCCCTTGGGGCTGGACCGTCATGTATCTAGTGGCGGTGGTGGCAGTCTTGCTCATCCTTCCAATCCTGGAGCGCTGCTCTCTTCCTGCTCAGCTAGCCACTCCAGGGAAGGGGAGGGAGGACAAGTCTCCCTGCACAGCTGGCGAGCGGCTAGCCGAGCAGGAAGAGAGCAGCACTCCAGGAGTGATTGGAAGGATGACCAAGGCTGCGGGTTGTCTGTTTCTCCTAGATAGCAGAAATGATCTGTGAGCTTTTAAGCTCCACCTATTTCTCTGTTGCATATCTGTTCATTACAATTTCTGGAACTCTGAAAGGTAGGCCCAGCTTTGGAAAGTACCCGTTTGTCAGACAGACAAAGCTGCTATATTATGGTGTCAGATAAGTGCTTTGTAGCACTGCTTCTAAGACAGCATTTTGAATATAGCGTTTATGAGGATAGTTTTTAATATCCCATGCCTGAACATCAAACTCCATGCTGATGTTGTTCCTCAACTATCACCAGTTGCTAGACACAAGTGCAAAAATTACTGTCAAGTGTGCTACAAAACCTTTGAACTAAGTAATATGGGAATGAGACCTGTGGAGTCTCGTATATCAGAAAAACCTGCAGATTAAATGAAGTCTACAGTCCATTGCAATATGTTTAGGTTCAAACCCAAGTAAAAGTTCAGATACTAAAAATGGGATGAAAAGACAGACTACAAAAACTAGAAAATACGTTGAGTGTTGAAAACAGCAAAGAATTACATGCCACACAAACTAGCATGGCTGCCTATATAATCAAGGATTATTAGGGCGGTAGAACGCATGTGGCTGACAAAGATTATGTTATTTAAAACTCATCACGATGCTCTCAGTAAATTATCCCAACAGTTTCATCTTGGGGGCGGGGAAGCAATGTACAGTATGTTGCTTTTGGCTTGACACCTATCTTCTTGAAACAGTGTAAAACGTGTGTTGATAAATGTTTTAACAAAGTACACAGTTGTCCACTCTAGCTGCAAAAGATTGAGGGGAAGCCATAGGATGGAATCCTGTACTTGTGATTCACAACCAACGCTGGAAGAAGTCCTGTTGAAGGGACAGTTGTTGAACTTTATCCTCCAGGGATAAAACCTTTCCCCAGTTGTGATTCTGTGTAGTTCCCTTCTCTCCCTTCTCTGGATCTCGATGTAAGATGACTCGGCACCATGAGTTTCTTGCAAAACATCTTTATTTGGAAACAACTTGTTAATTTCAACGTTGATAACAGATTCCATCTCCTGCTTCAGGGACATGTCGTTTTCTCCTTTTCCATCAAACCATAACAAATCCCCTTTTAACGGCAGTAGGGAGGAACTTAAATCTCTATAACACCATTTCTGTGGAATGCCTGATCTATTGGGTACACCTATTAACCTTATTGGGGAGGGTGGAAAACCCACCCCACCTGTGGTTCCCAAACTTTCTTGCCCGGATTTTGCCTCAACCTCATTCGAAATGGATTCGCCCCACAGGGTTTCCCAGGAGGATCTGTACATGGCTTGTTGTCTTGCCTCTGGGCCTCCTTCTGCTGCCACTCTCTAAACCTTTTCCTTCTTTCTCTTTTCCTTCTTGCCCCAATAAGATGTCTTTCTGTAGACTTTTTCTTCCATTCCTTTTCGGCATACTGCCTAGGGACCCTAAACTCTGTCCACTCCCCTGTCTGGGGGTCGTCTTGTACTATTTACACCCAGTCCTTCTTTCTTTCATCCTCCTCCTGTACCCAACAAGCTTTGCCTTCTTCAATTTCCAACTGCCCCTCTCCCCCACTTCTCCTTTCCTTTGATCCCTTCTCCCTTTCTTGCTGAAATAACGCCCTCTAGTGAATCCTTCTCTTCTTTTTCCTCCTGCCCCTGCTCTTCCAAACATAGTCCCTTTAGGTTTTCTCCCAGGGTAGATATTCGTCTTTTGTTGTCTTCGATCAAGGAGGCGGACAGCACGCTCTGAGTGGTGCCTCTTGGGGTACTCCCAGTATCACACCAGTACACTGCAAAAACGGCAATTCCATGAAAATAACAGCCAAAAGTTAACATTGTGGAGAAAGAGTATCTGTGACATTCCCCATCTCTTCATATCCTTGAGAGGAAACCTTTTAATAGCCCCTTCCCATTGACTAGGGTGTAATTCAGGGCGCCAACATCACAAGAAGAAACCAATGAAACATGTGGCAAAGTGTGCAGGATAGAGCTACAGGTCTGTAACCTTTACCATTTCCTACACATTTCTTTCCATCTAGGGTCATCTGGCCTTAAAAATATTTCACAGAGGACAGGCAGGGTACTTGGTGTGTTCAAGGCGATGGCCTCTCCTTTATTCTCTCCAGTGCCTTGGACTGTGAAGAATGAGGGCTCCCAAAGTGGTGCAGAATTGGGTCAATGGTGGTGACTGGCAAAACATTATGTGCCATCAAGTCCCTTCTGACTTACAGCGAGGCTATGGATTAGGGACATTTAGAAGGCCCTGTCATTAACAGCTCTGCTCTGGTCTTGCGCCAAAGCATGCAATTTAGCAAGCTGGAGGGTTAGTAAGATCTTAACAGCTAGGATGGATACCAGCCTGTCTATTCAAAAGACTGTGAAGCCACCGCATGCCCAGCAAACGTTCAGGGCCCCAGGAAAAGAGGGTGGCAGTCGGAAAAAAACTTCACGGAGGACATACCACTTGCCTGTACTGTACAGTACTTCACACAATCAAAATGGCACCGCCAACACAAGCCTAACACCAGGCTTTAAAAGACCTCCAAGGGTTTGGGGGAGCATCGAAGAAAATGGGGAGCAGCATTCTTTGTTGTTGCGGTTCCCCGGTAGAGCTTATTTCTAAACCACCCAAAATATTCTAAGCGCAATTTTAAAAAGGTGACAGCTCCATGCAAGCCCTTAACTCTCTTGCTCACCTTAATAACTGTACCCTTGCTTAAAAAGTCTCTTATTCATGTAAACGTTATCCCCAGCGCCCAACCTGTGGCTGCCGAGAGTAATCTGCACCTCCGATCGAAGTTGGGGAATCTGGAAGAAGGATAAACAGTTGGTTAAAAAAGATCGCAGAGGCTTCCTGGCGTCAGACCAAAATGTATGCAGCTGGAAACCGCCTAAGATACGCAGAAGCACAGACAAAATTAGGCAAATTGTGACTATCTCTTTATTAAGCATTTAAACGACCAAGACGTATCATGTAAAACAACTTCCGACCCCCCACCTTCTGTGTCGTCCGACTGCATGCTAAACAAGGCGGAAAAAAACCTAAACACCGTGTCAAAGAGAAGAAAATGGCCCACCGGAGGCCAACCGTACCCTCCAGCCCGCACTGGGTGCAACAACCTTAACAACTCCCTCGTCTCACATCCGAAATGGCCGCGAGCAAAGACTGACTCATCTTCAAGCACCGCCCTCGTGCGTGAGTGGGATACAGGACTCTGAGTGGCAGCTCCTGCAGCAAATAGATTAACGGCGCTGTTCTGCTCGGCTTACGTTCGCTTTAGGCGTACCTCGGCGGGGAGACGGATGGAACGCCACCCACGTTTTCTTTTCCAACTGTCCCCGCCCCCGCGAGTCTTTCCCCGCTCACACGACACAGCGCTTAGCCAATCCCTTCATCGCTTTCGGCGCCTCCCGATTGGCTGGCGACGGCGAGTCCGAGGCTTCGCTGAGAACTTGGGCGCGAGGGAGAAGGTAAGATGGCGGTTGCGGCGGTGACGAAGGGGCGCGTAAGTCTCGGGTTTTTAACCGCCCTTTCTCCTAGAGCTTTTCTCTGGCCTTGTTTGTGGAAGAATGGCTCTGCGCAGGAGGCGGTAGGGGAGAGGAGGAGCGGGCCGGCGGCGAAATGTGGGCCGGCGAGGAAACTTGGGTGGTGCGGAGAAGAGAGAGTCAGCCAGTCAGTCAGTCTGGGAAGGGTTATGCCTAAAAGAATTACTAACTTTCAAGACAAGGGCGCGTATTTTTAAATGAGTTGTTTTGTATACACTTGCTGATTTTCCAATTGGTGGTCTTATGAGGACTCGCGCTTTCTCCTCGTCTAAAGTGCGCCGTGTTCCTGAATGAGCCACGGGTGTAATAATAATAATAGTAATTTTAAAAGGTGGTCGAGTCTGGCCCAATACCTTTTTTTATAAAGGAGAAGGAAAATGGCCCGGTCGGGGGAAGAGAAGGAAAGCGAAGGGCGGCCACACGGCAGGGACTCCCTTGCCTTTCATGCTGTTCCTAGGGCCAGAGGCGGGTGCAGCGTGGCGCTGGTGTCGCATCGGTGTGAAGGCTGGAAGAAGAAAAAGGGTGGTGATTTTTAGTGGGTAGAGGAAACCCAGGCATAGGCAGAGATGGCTGTGGGGTAGGCCAAAGTTGAAAGCCTGTTATGGTAGAACGGGGCTTTTTGAATGAACATAGCATGGAAACAAGACCCTCTCCTCCTTTTCCCTGTAGTTGTAGACTATTGTGAGGAATAGGACCTCTGATTTTCATTTATTTTAATCTGTAAATTGTCATGCATGTTAATAGAGCTGTATGTGTGTTAATAAAATGCTCCTTGTAGACCTTGGCATGAACAGAATTCGCATCCATGTTTTGCCTTCAAGTCGGGGGCGACTCACCCCCGTACCAAGGCAGCAAGAAGCCTTGTCCTGTGCCTTTGCTCACCGGCCATGCTCCCAGCCCCGTTTGGAGGGACATGACTTCTGCATTAAACACATCCTTGAAGACAGGAATGCACCCTTCAAGCAGTGTAGCTACATTTCCACGAAGAATGGGAAGCGATGCCCTAATGCAGCTCCAAAGCCTGAGAAGAAGGATGGGTATGTGCTGTGCTAGCTCATATTACCTCTTGCATCTAATAGATTGTTGAGTGGATAGTAACTTACAAATATGTCTGGATGATGGTGATAAAAATTACACTGACTCTTTAAAGTATTTCCTAGGTACAGAATACTCAAAAGTAATTGACCATTCCCTTCTTCTGGGGGTGCTTTGGAACTGTGTAGCTTTTCAAAGGCTATACATTATGTCTGTTACAGTAGGAATTCAAACTCGCAGTGTCTGCTCTGAACTCGCTGAGCTATCCAGGCACTTAACGCAAACAATGAATTCTTATGTGCGCACGTGCGTGTGTGTAAAAAAGAAAAAACATTTACATATGTGGTGGCCATGTGATAAATAGGAAAGAATGGATGTGAATCTTCAAAAAAATTACAGAAATAACTGAATTCTGTTACAGTAGGAATTCAAACTCGCAATGTCTGCTCTGAACTCGCTGAGCTATCCAGGCACTTAACGCAAACAATGAATTCTTATGTGCGCACGTGCGTGTGTGTAAAAAAGAAAAAACATTTACATATGTGGTGGCCATGTGATAAATAGGAAAGAATGGATGTGAATCTTCAAAAAAATTACAGAAATAACTGAATTAGATATTCAAATGTCACCATTGACAGTTATATTGAATATGATTAATTATAGTCAACTGAAGGGGAAAAAATGAGGATCTAATTATTATAATGATTACAGCAGCAAGGCTACTGTATTGGCAAAGTGATAACCAAATTAATATTTAGGAATAATACAGAGAAATATGGGACATGTCAATTAATGATAAACTGACTTGTGAAATGAAATTAAGAGGCTTATCAAAAAGTAAAGATTTAAAAATATATGGAGTTTATTTCTGGAATATGTATTTTGGAAGGGGACATACCAGGAGAAGAATCAGTGTGTTTCTGGAGAGAAATTGGGTAGAATGAAAAATCAAAATATTGAAAGAAGAACCTAACCCTGAGAGTGAAGGTGGCATGGGTGAAGTAATACAGTGGTGCCTCGCTTGGCAATTGAGGTTTTTGGAGCAATTTTGTGCTCCGTTTAGTGATGTTCCCTATGGGGAAATTTCGCATAGCGATGTTCGGGACCTTGCCTCGCTTAGCGATGACAGTTTAGGTCCCCCTGTTTCGCTTAACGATGTCCATTTTCACTATTTTTAAAGTGTTAAAATGTTCAAAAACTGTTTTAAATGCTTGGGATCGTTAGTGCACCTTATAAAACCTTTGCAAACTTAATTTGGCTTTGTTCTGAGTCTTCGTTAATTTTTGTTGAATTTTTTTCTCCCCCATTGGAATGCATTGAACTACAACCTACAGTTCAATGCATTCCAGTGGGGGAGAAAAAAATTCACCAAAAATTAACGAAGACTCAGA